TCCATTCTAGATCCTTTGACTTCCTGTTTGAGACCCCCATAAATTATATTTATTTCAAATTCACCTCATTTTTGATTTGAAATTTGGTTCTTGGATTTGACAATTCTGCAATTTCATATCTGTTAATTTTTACATGTTATCTATGATTTGTTAGACTTAAATAAAATACCAAATCATACATTAGAATTCTGAATTTCCAATTCATGTATTCCACATTTTCTTGCTATGTTTTATCTTTAGTTAGTTATGTTATCTGCTCAAAGGATTTGAAATTTGCCAATTTAAATAAATCAAAAAAAATTCAAACTTAATGGTTGATTTTATTAAATATTTTATTCTTCACTCAGCTGAGTTGCCTGCAAATATGATTCAAAATTTGGACCAAGGATTTAAAAATCCTGCATATTTATGTTTAGGTTCTGAATTTACAGTTTAGTGTTCAAATATATACCCTCAATCCAGCTATTCTAAGTTCCATATTCTGTTCAAGTACAACAAAAAAAATTATTAACTCAGTATACTAATTATGGGCTGAAGTAAAAATTTATTAAAAGCAATAATCACTTTCAGGGGTTATATGTAGACCATGTATTTAAAAATGTATATACCAACCCAATTTGGCTATTCTAAGTGCCATTGTAAAAATTGGGGACAGGTTAATAGGAAATAAAACCTAGCTCATAACCACAATAAAATTATGGTTTCAGCAACAACCAAAAAGGTTGCCACTAACAATTCAAGGGATACCAAAGAGGGAAAAGAATTGAATGAATACAAAAAGCAGCAGGAAAAACCAAATGGCCAAAAATACTAACAATTTTGAACTTTATTAGGTTAGAGAATGATGAAGCAAGGTCTTTTCCAAATCTTGCATTCATTTAAAGGGAGGGGATGGAATTTGGGTGGGGGGTTGAATGTCAAAACCAATTTACCAATGATATGATAGAATACAAATGCATTTCTTAGGCAGAAAAATCTGGAAAAATTTAAATGGACAAAATCAAAGAAAAAACCCAACTCAACTAAAATTGAGGAACCTGTCTTGAATGCAGTTACCACTGCTCCTGGCTGCTCTTGCACATGATATTTAACCAGAGGTGTCTCTTAGGTGGGTTAGGTGGGGGTGTATTCAAACTTAGTCTACAAGTAATAGTGTGATGACTTTTCTTGGGTTTTTTTAGTAAATCTTTGGATAAATATCCAGTTGTAATCTGGTAGAGATCCTCAAGCATTTGGTGAGGGTTGAAGTAGAGGCCCAAGGGGGAGATGTAACTTTACAGACATGTTCTGTCCAAGTACAACAGATTTTTTTATTAACTTAGTATACAGTAGTTTTAAAAGCTATGGCAACAAGCAAAAATACTTTAGATTTAAAAAAACTCAGATGTAAACAAAATTAAAATTAATATATTTATATTAATTTACAATAGATTTATTTACTTTTAATTTTGTTTACATCTGAGATTTTTTATTTAAATCCAAGGTATTTTTGCTTGTTGCCATAGCTTTTAAAACTACTGTATTAATTATGAGCCAAAGTATAAACCTATTAAAAATAATGATCATTTTCAGTGGCTATATGTAGATCATGTATTTAAGAGGGTATATATGTGATGAATTGGACTATTTTTAATCAGAAATTTTATTGTATGTTTATATATTATAAATTTAATCTTTTTTAGTGCTACAATTAAGTGAAATTAAGAGACAACAAGTGCAAAGGACCAGTCAATAAGAATTTGTACTAATTTTTGGTTGTCTTTGATGATTGATTCAGATAAGACATGCCTCTTTTATTGTTCTCAGTTTAGCTTAGTAAATTAAGCCTGTTGGTAAAAAACTGTCTGTTTTTGACAAACAGCACACAAATTTTGGTCAACTTAGCACCCAATCACTGGCTTCTCTTGTGCTAGATTGACCACAAATTGGTGTGTCAATTGGTAAACACATAAACTTTTTTACCAGCAGGCTTAATTTGCTAAGTTAAACTGGTTGCAATAACAGAGGTGTGTCTTGTCTGAGCCAATCATCAAAGATAACCAAAAAATTAATAGAAATTTTTATTGGCTGGTCCTTTGAATTTTTAGTCTCTTAAATTCAATTGATTGTAGCGCTACAAAAATATTAAATTTATGATAGAAATAAATAGACTAAATAAAAATTAAATAATTGTAATAAAATTTTATCACATTCAGAATCAATCATCCCTGGGATTAAATGTAAAATATATATTATCACAATAAAAAGTACCTAAAATTTAAAACAATAAATATTTTATAATTATAATTTTTGGGGGGAACAATGTTTAATTGGCAAAATGTGGGAGTGGGGGCAAACTAGTTGGCAGACTGGGTTGTGGGAGGAGAACTTGATTAGTAGGGGGCTGGGTTCAGATCAACTGGGAGGGTTGGCTGAGGACTGTGGCATATGGAGGTTCTAGGAGTGTGTTGTTGCCTTGATTGGCTTAGAGAAATTGATGGTACATGACACCATACTCATGTTCATAGAGAACATATATTGGCTTGTGCACCAGGGACTTACAAGGGGGCAGCTGTGAATCCTTTAATAATTGGCTAGTGTTGTGGGTGTTAAGGTTAACTTGGAAACATGTTAGCAACTTTCTGAAAGGGGAAAGCACACTGTGGTTCTAGGCTGCAAGAACCATCTGGTTGATAGTTGTGAGGTTGTGCTCTCTGATTGTGTCTCAAATATTGAAGAACAACACATACCCTAGGTGTAAATTGGCATGGCCAGTAGGGAATATTGACACACTGTGGCCTCCTTCTTGAATCTCCACTGATGCCTCTTCATCACATTACATTTGATGGCTCAGAAATATGCAGTATTTAGAACTGGCCAAGCTCCAGATATTGAGAAAATCTGAAAGAACTCTTCAGTATGTATAATCATTGGTGTAACTGGATGAGGTTTAGTAAAATACAGTCCCTTTTTGGAAAGCTGCTAGAAAAGCATCAATGACAGTATTATCTTTTTCCTTCTTTTTACCATTAGGGGTGTTCTTTTCCCCATAATGCCATGATCTTGGACTTTTAATGACCATTTATAGTAGGATATAAAAAATTTATTGTCCAATATATGTGACAGACAGCAGATAATTGCGGCACTCATTACTGGGTTGTGTAAAGAACCAGAGCTACCTTCCCAATCATCACCTGCGCAGTTGTTCAGAACCAGGATGCCAACAGCAAGCCCATGTATTAGAGCTATGCAGTGCGGCAGGCAATAAATATGATGTGAACCTCAAGTAGGCAACAGACCTCGGTCATTTGGAGGTAGGGGTCAAGTTGCAGATGGACAAGCATGATAGGATATGAATCCTTGATCTTGGAGTCAACCTGCTTCTTCAGTTTCTTGGTCAGCTTTGCACCACCTCTCTTTGAGAGGGCTTGGAATCCATGTCTTGTCACTGCCTCAGTGAATTGTAGGCAGGTGAAAATTTCTGCAAATGCCATGCCACTTTGTTTGAGGCTCATTATCTCCTTGACAATCCCATTGGTTACTTTTTGTTGTTTATGGGACCCACTGGGCATAATGATACCCAGATTGAGCTGGACTTGCTCTGATTAGCCCAAATTATCAAGTGGTGGTTGAATTGGGTTGTATAGAACTACAGTTGCCCAGTCTCTAAAGTGTGGTACAGGCTTGTTTGGGCCTGGTTTTGGGGGTCACATAATGGCTGTTGGAAAAGCCACCCATGGATAGGCCTAGTGACACATACAACTTGGTCTCCTCACAACTTAAGTTTAGTTGGGTATAAAATGAGGCATGACAGTTACGCTCCCTTGCTTATAAACCTGGGCTTGGGATAGCTCCTGGTAATTCTCCTCAACAATATCAGAGTTATCTTCACTTCTATACCTCATTGTAAACACAAAAAAACAATTAAAATTCTATTAAAAACAGAAAAGCAAAGTATTTACAGAGTATTAATTTTATTTGAGTGTGTGGTTCTATTTGAGACATTCTCTCAGACATAAATGGCCAAAATCAGAATCATATACATTGAAAATAATGATGTGGTTCCCTGAATAGATTTTGGTGGATTTACTCCTGAAATCCACTATTTCTGATTTGAGTTTCAAAAATAATCAATATTTTCAAATTTTGAGTTATTTTGTGTTTGAAAATATCACTTCTGTGACTGAACCTTGTTTGTTCTCTGTTTTTATCATTTTTGTTACACAATCATTATCAAATTTAATGTAGAATGCTTAAGGATGTGACTGTTTTGTGTTTGTTTTGAATATGGGTTTCATGTATTTGCTATCTCATTTTTGGGATTTGGTATTTGAATTTAATTTTGTTGTGTGATTGACTATTTTTGTTTACCAGCCCTAGATAAATGGAAGTTTTATTAAGTAAATTGACCTTGAACTGGTTCCAGTTGAAATTTTTTGTGTGACTGAGCTCATGCGTTCTAAACTGATTAATATTTGTTTATCTCAACAGGTTTGAAAACTACTGTATAATATCTCCTGATCTGTTTTTTGTTGGGTTTAAATAATTTTACTTTTAAATATGTAACTTGTCATCCACACTGGATTCCTAATGAGCTCCCTGATTTTAGTTGTAAATTAGATGAAGTGGAAATTAATTTCCGTTTTTATTTATGATGAAAACAGGGAAGGGCTTTAAAGTATAACAACATATAAGTATATCATAGTATAAAAAGTTTTATGGCTATTTTTAGAGATTCAATATTACATCATAAGTATGATCAAGTAAGGATGGCTAAAACCAATGAAAATTTCTTATTTAACGTTATTAGATCAGAATATAATCTCCTTAGCACAACAACCTTTTTTTCACCTGCAGAAGCCTAAAATATTCAAATAAATTATAGAGACTTGTAAAGTCGATTTCAAAACTATCAATAAACAACAAGATCATTATATTCAAAGTCCATACTTATCAGGAACATGATTATTTTGTTGTGTTTATAAAAACAAATTGTTATAAAAAATTAAAATTTCAAAAAGTGTTTTCCACCAGATTCGAACTGGTGACCTTCTGTGTGTGAGACAGATGTGATAACCAACTACACCAGGAAAACCGAATTTATTTTAGTCCTTTAATTACTTATTTATATACTGCTTTATTTGACCATCTCGAGTTGTTTCTTTTTAAGAGGGCATCTTAAACAATAATTGAATGGCCTCATTTGAATTTAAGAACCCCAAGTCAATTATTTTAGCAGAAATTTTAACATACTATCATTTTTTATTTACTTTTTAATTTGTAAAACAAGATTACTTTTTTATTATTTTTTATTAGTTATTTTACATTATGGTTTAATTTATCATTTATCCTTTTATTCCACCATTTATCAGGCTCCTGAAATGTAGCATTAAATAATAACAAGGTTCGATATGGTATTTTTCATTATGAATAAAATCAAATTTGTGTACCTGAACTCTGTGTGGCACCTACAAAACGAAAAGATGGGAGAGAAAATTAAAGTGGGTTTAATGTTTATTTTTAAGCATAGAATTTATATTTAATAAATGGATCAACTAAATATTAGGACCTATTAAGAGAATAGGATATGTGAGCAAGACTAGAATTTGGCTAGATTTAAGATAATATAAATGGACAGAATGGGAGACAATATCCCTATTTATTGGAAGGGCTAATGAGGATATGGCTTGACCATTTCGAGTGACAGGTTGAGCCCAATTGTGAGCCATTTAACCACTCAGAAGTAGGGCTGTAGTAGAAAAAATGTAATGATTACGGTATTTATCGTAATCTTTGCTTTGCAACCGTTGGATTTTTATTTTTCAGATTCCTCTAAGTAAGGGGAATTTAAAATTTTTAAAAATGGTTAAAGATGGCTTTCTTCCTCCAGAAAAATTGTAGCCAGGTCAATTTTCCAGAATACTAGCTGTATCTGAGACAAATGGCTGCTTTTTATAAAGCAGCATTCTTTCAAATCTGTCCTGGCCCTACTCAGAAGTAATGTTACTTGAATAAGTTTGAGGAATATACCCTTGACTTAAAGCAAACTCTAATATTTTTTCAATTGATAAGGATACAAAATTGAAGGATATAAACAATCACAGTGAATTGACAACTTAAATACTTAGGCTTTAAAATAGAGAGTCATAATGTTTATTATAAACAAAGGTAAAATTAAAACTTTTAAAAAACAGATAAATATTATTTAAATTTACACTTATACCCAAAAATAAGAAATTAATTAATTAATTTTCTGTAATATGAGTAAATCAACAAAGTAAAATTGGGCTTTTGTACTGAGAAAACACTCTAATCCAATCATCTGGTGTTTAAGCCAAGAATGCTTAATAACTCTTTACATTACATGATCTAACTGTGCTGTTTTAGCAGTTACAGTAAAAGGGAAATAATAATATAGGAATTTATAATGTTTTTTATAGAAAAATTAATTTTATATGTTTTCTTTGGATTTTAGAGGTTATATATGCATCCTAGTATATAGGGAACCATTTTTTGGAAATGAGTTTTGCTCCATATATGGCCTATTTAGCCATAATGCCTCAGCTGGTGGGCTTGACTTGGTGTGTCATGACTTTGGGTCTTGGGTAAGTCAAGTCCTGTGTGTTCTTTTCTGACTTGGAATCTGTCAGGAATAAAAGCCCTGACTATAATATTCCATGACATAATAACAATAAACTTGGTCAAAATAAAGAAATAATTTTAATGTGATTAATAATTCTGAATTAATCACTCAATATGAACCTGGGAAACAAACCCGGATACCTATTCTTGATGTTAGCACCATAGTAAAGTCCAAACTTTAACTTAATTTACAAATTTATGTTCATAATACTTTGATTTTTTAAAACAATGTTCAAAAATGTTAAAATGATCATAAAGCATCATATCTTGCGCTCTACACCTGATTGACTGCAATCACAAATCTGTCACTAATATTCAATCACACAGCATTGAAACCACTTGGTAATATTGCCTGTTTAGCTGCTAGTGAGTTTAAACTCCTATTGATGATACAAATAGTTAGTAAAATATGATTCTTGTTACTCTGGTTACTTCTGCTTACAAATTTTATTGAAAAGGATTGTGGTGCTGGGTGCCACTCCCTAGTATTGCCTTATTTGGAATGCTTCCTTATTTTGAAAAATATAAGGGGAACTGCTGCCCTTTTTTGTTATTATCATCAGAAGGTAACCCTCTGAATTACATAGCGTTGTCTCCAATTATAGACCAATTGACACACCTGCGGCTAGCCGCAGATGCATTGGAGAGTGACCCATCGGAATGGGTTTTCATATGGCAATTGGTGACCAATTGGAGCATCTGCAGCTAGCTGTAGATGCATCAATTGGTGACCCATCAAAAGAGGTTTATATATGACAATTAATGACCCATCAACACATCTGCAGCTAGCCGCAGATGCATCAATTATTTACCCATTGCTTGTGCCCACTATGTAAATTGGTATAGTGATCTTCTGCCCCTCTTTTTGCCAAAGTGGGAACCCTGAAAGAGAGTAGTATGAAACCTTATTCTACACTCAATTCCCCAGAGACAGCCCTACTATGTGCTGCAACCACCTGACTTCAGATCACATGCCCAAATGTTCACTTCTTGCCCAATCCAACCCATTTCCTTCTGAATATTCCCCAGTATGTTTCAGTCCTTCAAGAATAAGCTCATTGCCTGACAGTCTAGACCCTAGTCAGCATGACTCACCCTTTCTTTTCCCTCCTCCCCTCCAAGTATAAAAAGACCCCCAGGGGTCCCCAATAAACAAGAATTATACACATACACAACAATTGACTTACACATCTTAGACTACTTGCAGAGCCCAAAAATAGAGGTTCTGTTGAGTAAGAAGATAATAGTCCTGTTGTGTTTCCAGTTGCTCAGCTACTCTCAAACCATCCCTTCAACCCTTGAGCACCACATTTTCTGGTGCTCACTACAGGGGTATCCACCACTGCCCGTTGCACCGCTGCCGGAGACCTCTAGTCCAGGGACCAAACCTGTGATCCCAAAACCATGGACCGCCCACACCATTCCACCGCCAACTACGCTCAATGCAACGCTAGCCCACCGCGCCCTGCCTGCTCAACTCTGGCACGCAGAGGCCGGGGTTGGCCCCACAACGCTGAACAAGTTTCAACCCCCACCGAAGTCCCCCACCCTGAGGGTCAAGCCGCCCCTAGCACAGGATCTCCCCAACTGCCTATAGAGATCGAGGAACCTGCTGCCCTGATCTCTGACCTTCCCCCACAAGCCCAACCTAGACCTCACCCGCCTGCCTCTGTCCTTTCTGTTTCCCAAGCTGTCAAGCCCACAAGACAGCACCCTGCCTCAGTCTGCCCACAAAGCCCCTCCCCTGCCTCAGACAAGGACCCTGTAGAGGACTTCTTTGAGGTGGATGAGGAACCTCCCGCCAATCTTCCTTGGACTCCATCTTGGGCATCTTTATCAAGTGGAGACCACCGCCACCCTAGGGCTCTGTCCAGAAATCCCGCGCCCCCTCCTAAAGACGTCAAACCCTTGAGCAAACTAGCTCCTGTGCCCTGTTTGTCTCACGTATAGAGCCTCTTCCTGTCCCTTCTGCTCCTCCATCCTACCAGTCCGTCCCTAGTGCCCCCCTCTACTGATGCACCAAGTTGCTCACCCTGGCCCCTCTGATAACCCCACCATATCCAATATGGAACATGTCCGCCAGTTTCTGAGCAAGAATGGGGATGTTCTCACCTCCACCGCCATAGACAACACCCAGAGGATCAAGGCCTATCTGTTACAATTTAACCACCCTGTGGTAACTGCACTGGTAAATTGGCTGGAGCAACAACGTATTAGCAGTGAACAAACCATCACGGCTTTGAACCAACTAAGGGACTATACTGAGTCAGCAGTAAACCCCCTTCAAGACTGTCTTCACCAGATCAGACACAAGCATGAGGTTCTGGGAGCCATGCACTCAGACACCGTGACCATTGCTTGGCAGATAACTGAAGACCACTCTGCCCTCCAACAGCAAGTAGTTCAACCCTTGGTTGAAGAAGTGGCCAATCTTAAAGGTCACTTGAACCAACATGACGTAGACATCAGTGATATACAGGCCCAGCTAACAGATATCTGAGAGGCTTGCAACTGGTGGGCTGGGAACACTGCGTCTAGAGTCAATCAGGCTCAGGATGACCTAGAGGTCCTGAAGACTTACTTTGACTTACTTCAAAATGATCTTGCACAAACACAAAAAGACCTGGACGTTGTGGGAACTGATGGCAACACAACCTATGCTAAGGAGAAGCGCTACAGGCAGACCAGGTTGTCTTCAAGACAGAAACTGAGGCCAACCAAACCAAACACCTTGGCCTCATCCAACAATTGACAGCCCAACTTAAGTGCGTCCAACAGGAGCTGACCATCCTGACTCAGAAGCAGGAAACCCATGCCTCCACTTACAACAAGGAACTCTCCACTCTTAAGGAGAAGGATGCTAGCCTACAGCTGCTGATCTCCAACCTGACCAAAAGATTTGACTCAATGAACCTAGGAGGATCAGGTAGCACTCAACCAGGCCCAACATCTGCCTCTGCCTTGGAAGAAGTAGTGTGTTCTGTGCTTGAGTCAGTAGAAACCACAACGGCCTTGTCCAGTACTAACCCGGTTGGAGAGACATATTGAAATTTTCCCCAGGCTACCCAAGGGGTCTCTGCCCCAATGCCAACCTCCTTCCTGCCTATCCCGGACATCTTGACTCCCGGCCCCATCTCAGTCCCAACTGCCGCCAATTAAACTCCTGGGGAGCATCTCCCCAATACTCCATCACCAGCCCCTGCTAATGATCCTAGGGCAAACCCTGCAACCGCACACTGGGAGACCCCCCCAATCCTGGACACTCACTGTAAGGGACCCTCTTTATAGAGGAGAATACAGTTGGGGAATCAAACAAGGGTCCATTACTCTCTACAACAGGAGATAGCTCTTCAAGCTGTAGGGTAGGGGTTGGGCAAGGACCAGGGAAGCACAAGGTAGCTGGCCCTTAAGACAGGATATAAGGCAGGAACAAGGAGAGCCAGATGGTGACTA